TAAGATGAAATTGATTGATAGTATTCTTAGACCATGTGAAAGTAAGATGACATTGATTGATAGTATTCTTAGACATAGGTGAAAGTAAGATGACATTGATTAATAGTATTCTTAGACCATGGTGAAAGTAAGATGACATTGATTAATGGTATTCTTAGACCATGGTGAAAGTAAGATGAAATTGACTAATGGTATTCTTAGACCATGGTGAAAGTAAGATGACATTGACTAATAGTATTCTTAGACCATGGTGAAAGTAACATGACATTGATTATTAGTATTCTTAGACCATGGTGAAAGTAAGATGATATTGACTAATAGTATTCTTAGACCATGGTGAAAGTAAGATGACATTGATTAATAGTATTCTTAGACCATGGTGAAAGTAAGATGATATTGATTAATAGTATTCTTAGACCATGGTGAAAGTAACATGACATTGATTGATAGTATTCTTAGACCATGGTGAAAGTAAGATGACATTGACTAATAGTATTCTTAGACCGTGGTGAAAGTAAGATGACATTGACTAATAGTATTCTTAGACCGTGGTGAAAGTAAGATGACATTGACTAATGGTATTCTTAGACCATGGTGAAAGTAAGATGATATTGACTAATGGTATTCTTAGACCATGGTGAAAGTAAGATGACATTGATTAATAGTATTCTTAGACCATGGTGAAAGTAAGATGATATTGACTAATGGTATTCTTAGACAATGGTGAAAGTAAGATGATATTGACTAATGGTATTCTTAGACCATGGTGAAAGTAAGATAACATTGACTAATGGTATTCTTAGACCATGGTGAAAGTAAGATGACCTTGACTAATAGTATTCTTCATAGGCAATAATTAAAATAGTGTAAGAACTTATTTGAAATTAGTCTTCATTTTCTATGTTAAACAATTTCTATAATATCATGCTACATGTTCTATATTCGTTACTGAATATACAAAAATTTGTTTTCAAATACTGTTGCAATGATTGATTTCTCAGCTATATCTATACTGCACATTCACATTTTACAGGAGTATGTGAAAGTCTTGAGTCGACCCATGGTACTTGAAGGGGAAAAGCTGTTTGAATGGACAAATTTTTACATGGATGTCATGGTAAATAATTTGTCATCAGTAGGTAAATGTTGTATGTCTGAGAAACTGTATGTGTGGATTAATTGTTGTTGTTTTTTCCAGAATTGTTATTAAGGAGCAACTTACTTTACAGCTCTGTTTGTTTTAATAAAGCACTTTGATTTAGCAATGCTAGACTTATCTTTGACATTCAAATCTTTCTGACAGATGAATGTTTCTTTATTTTTTATCTAAGATAATCATTAAGTTTGTGAAGTTAACTTTCAACCATGTGGTTTTCTCCTGTGAAGATTAATATCTTCACCACTTAACTGTTATTTTTTCGAAATGCATGTTTTTTGCACTTGTGGTTGCCAAGCTAATCTTAACAAAGATGAACATGGGTAGCTATTAATTAGATACTACAGTTTATTTTATGTGTCATTACTGTAATTGGTTAATACAAAAATTGTAAGGTGTTAAAAATATGAATCGGGGCTTAGATAGAGCTGAATGAGTCAATATAAAAATTAACCTAAAATAAATGTTCTCATTTCTTCTGTCAGTGAAAACAAACATTATAAAAATGAGCCATGTTGGTGAGTTTCACTTTCATAAATTTATCAGGTACATTGTGTTTGATTTAGGTACATAGCCTTCATTAGTTATCACAACTATTGCAGTTTACTGAAAATGAACATGATAGCAAGTATATTGTTAAGAAAGTGTCCAGTCTTTAGTTTGGGGATGTCATAATCAACATTACTGTTAGAGAAGTGTCCAGTCTTTAACCCTTTCGAGACGGGTCACAGGTGAAAGGACATGTCATCTCGTTTGTTGACTCACATTCAATATTTTATTGAACTACTATTTTATGAATTTATGTCAATAAGTTTGGTATCAAACTGTATGTTATAATTCAAATTTTAGTACTATACATTACTCAATTTTTTAATTTAAAAGCAAATATTAAAAATACATGGATAAACATCAATTTTTGTGTGTCACGTGGTATGTTGAATGCAGCATTAATTCAAATTAAATGTTTGTGAGGTCAAAATACTAAGTCTATATTTTCATACAAATTAGAAACTCAAATTACAGATATTGACAAGCTAGAATATAAAATAAGAACATCTTATCTTTTCTATTTGCTAAGATATTGCTCATGTAATAAATCAAACATAGTGGCACCCCACCCACCTCTTTCCATTTTTGGAAATGCTCCCTTATATACACTTACTTCTATATATGACATGAATAACCAATCAGAAACTCAGAATGTCCCCCTAGTGGTTTTCTCAGCCTTTCTTTTGAACCAATATTTCAACGAGGTAGGGTGTGTCTTTAGTCTGCTCGAAATTTCATATTTTTTTAGACTGAAATACATCTTAGTTACTAAGCTTCATAAATTATAGTGGAATTTTATGGTAGTAATTTATGATTTTTTAGTTATTCAAGTGTATATATAAAACCTAAAAAAATTATTTTGTTTCATATCCTCCACACGCAAATTTTTAAAGGCTTAGCAACCTATGTCAAGCAGCAACCAAGTACAAAGGTCATAACTAGAAGAGATAATTGTTTGCTTTACTTCTTTAGTTATTGTTCTATGTTTTAAGAAAAATAAGTTTAAGAACTTATTTCAAAATAGCAATAATCTATACACATATATAATGTATAACAATTGAAATGTAACTGTATTTTACAAAAAACTGGTCAACTAAAGCCAAGACAAGTTACTTTGTACAGATCAAAGGTCAACTTTATGTTATTTGATACAGTAACATGAGTGCATGTGAGCATCATCGTTGTAACTTCTATATTGTTATCCAGGCACGGTTGAAAGGTCAATTTAATAAAAATAGTAAATATATATAAATGTATAATGTTATGATATTTGAGCTATTTAGTCTAAACATTTATGTTTTTGTGTTATAATTTGTGTTCATTCTAGAATGAAAAAGGCATAATTTATATACATTTCCTAATTTTTTATGGTGGTTCCGAGATCGGTCAAATCTACTGAATCCGTACAGAGGTTAATTACTGAAAATAACAGATAAAATAAAAACTTTTTTTCTTAAGAAACATTTGATAACTACCTGGCCATTATAAAAATTTTGCATGTCAAATTTGAAATGTTTCTGATGCATAAAAGTATTTTTAATTTTAAAATGAATAGTACTGTGCATGATAGAGAGGCAATATGCGAAAAGAAAAAAAACGCATGAGAAAAACAATTGCTTTACAAACCATAAGACTATAAAAAAATCTGATATTTTGTCGTATGAAAGACATTGTAATAGTTTACTTGATAT